TCTGTCGGTCACGGATCGAAAGTGAAACTTAAATCTGTCACGGGGTGTTTGGATTTATTCACGCTGCACGCACGTTAAAAAATATTTATTAAAAGCTTCTTTCTTTGCACATTTTTATTGACAGCATTATCATAATAGGCTGTATATTAACGTATTGACAGAAAACCAGTAGTTCTATGTGAAATCAGACATTGAGCACACTCATATAGCCAAAATGACATAATCCTCGTTTAACAACACATCTGCGAAGATTCGACCGTGAGATTGGTAGTCGAATCAGGCTCCTCCTATCGAAGCATCATTCGACTATTCGGGGTCACCCCTAGTGCCAAGTCAGTCAGTGGAAACAAGGACAAACCTCTCAGAACAAACATTTTTTTGTGGCAAGACCCAAGTACCTGGTCTAATGACCCAGAGGAATTGGTCCACACAGCACAGATGAAGAGAAGAAAGTAACCTTCTGCAGCCTGACCACAGTAGACTTCTCTGGCATAATGCAAGAATTCTCGCCATACCGCAGTTTTTATCAACTGGTGAACATGAAGCACAAGAAAAGTTAAAACAAGCCAATCATTATCTGTGCAAGACTATGCAGCTGCTGAGATCTCACTCTTGAAACAAGCCCAATGTGTTTCCCAGTTGAACTTGACACATTAATATGTGGTATATCTTTGCTTTTCAACAGCAGATTAGTCTCACTTGCACCAGAGATTGACCAGTCTACTGGGCTCATAAGAGTTGGTGGCCGTTTGCGACGTAGTGAGCTGCTTAGACCAGATATTGCCCATCCAATTTTCCTTGATCTCAAACACCCACTCAGTCAACTCCTGATCCAACATTTATGATGAGAAACTTCATCATCCTGGCCCAGAAAGAGTATTTGCTGAGTTACGCCGTAAATACTGGATCATTAGAGGACGAGAAGCAGTGCGGCGGCACCAACATCAGTGTCGTGAATGCAAAAAATGGCGTGGAAAGCCTGAAGTGCCAAAAATGGCTGATTTACCACCAGACCAACTCCGTTTCACTGCCCAGCTTTTTATTCAACTGGTGTTGATTGTTTTGGGCCTTTCACAATCAAAGTAGGCCAGCGCAATGAAAAACGGTGGGGGATCATATTTAAATGTATGACGACCAGAGGAGTCTACATTGATTTACTTCCCAAAATTGATACAGATTCATTCCTCATGGCCCTATGCAGATTCATTGCACGCAGAGGAACTCCCCATGAACTCTACTCTGACAGGGGAACAATTTTCAAGGGAGAAGAAAGGGAACTGTCAGAAGCATTTGCAGCCATACAACCCACTCTGCAAAGTCAGCTTGCAAAGCAGAAAATTCAGTTCAAATTCAATCCCCTGGAGCTCCTCATTTTGGTGGACTATGGGAGAGGGAGATCAGGTCTCTAAAATCTGCTCTCAATGTTACACTTGGAGCCCAACATGTAACTGAGGAAGTGCTAAGTACAGTGCTTACAGAGATCGAAGGCATGTTAAACCCCTGTGCGTCATCGGACGTAGCAGATGTTGACCCCATCACTCCAAACAGCCTTTTATTGGGGCTGCCAGACCCTGATTTACCCCAAATTGTATACCCTGTAGTGTTGTCACGATACTAGAATTTCTAACTTCGATACGATACCTTGAAAAATATCGATATTCGATACCATTTTCGATACCACGGAGAAAAAGCTGCCACAATATTAAGGGGGTATTTTTTTAATTTAAAGCTAAATACAACAAGTCTAGAACATGACAATGAGGTATATTTTACACGAACAAAAATGTCCTGAGTTCTATTTGTTTATATTTTTTAATTGGACCAGAGCTAACATGATGTATTTTTATTACCTACTGTTATCAAAGATTAAAATATACTGTAACAAAAAAGCACTTAACAGTATCAAATTGGAGGATAGAGAGTCAGTAATGTATAATAATAAGATTAAACATTCAATTTTCAGTTAAAGGCATGTCATTATTGAATTCAGAGATAGCCGTTTAGTTTAAATAATATCTGTGTAATCAAATTGATGATAATGGCTAATGAAGGAAAATTGCAGAATTAAATAATAATATTTGAATAAAGTTAAATAGGCACCAGTTAATTTACATTTGACCACAGTTACAATATTTACTTTTCTAAGATTCCTCAGTCAGATTATGTTAACTTTAAGAATTAAAACGAGACAACACAGACTCTTATCAACAACAATACTAGGCCCTCTTGGTTAATGTTTCAGAAAAGTTCAAATGAGAAGAGTTACAGTGTTTCCTTGAGGACTTTTTTTTAGCAGTGGGGGCAGGTCTGTCCAAACAACAAAAACCCCTGATGCTGAGCATGCTGCTAAATAGTAGCCTACCCCTGGAGCCTGTTCCTTAAGTCTGTTTTCACCTATACAATAATTTAAAAAAATGAGTGATGTGAGGGATTATTGATAGTCAAACAATCTGTTGGGTGCCCGCAGCCCGCTCGCGTGTCCGAGCTATTCTCCGACATGCCCGCTCGCGGTGTGTAGCTCGTGTCCGCGCTATTCTCCGACATGCCCGCTCGCGTCCGCACTATTCTCCGACATGCCCGCTCGCGACGTGTGTAGCTTGTGTCCGCGCTATTCTCCGACATGCCCGCTCGCGTCCGCACTATTCTCCGACATGCCCGCTCGCGGTGTGTAGCGCGTGTCCACGCTATTCTCCGACTCCGACATGCCCGCTCGCGGTGTGTTTTTTACGCGTGTCCGCGCTATTCTCCGACATGCCCGCTCGCGGTGTTCTTTATCAATCAACCAAAGCCGGTCGCGGGGGCGCCGCCCTCGCCATCTTTCCATTCACTTCACTTTTGCTATTTAACCAGAGCGAATGAGACGAGTGCGTCACGTGTGGTGTTTGTCAACGCGCCTGAGTATCGATACTTCGGGAAATTAGTATTGGTACCGTTCAGATATTTCAGTATCGATATTTATCGAAATATCGATATTTTTGACAACACTAATACCCTGAATCCGAATTACTTAGCAGAAAACACTGGAGACATAGCCAGGTCCTTGCCGACCATTTTTGGGCCCACTTCATCAAGAGATACTTGCCTGAACTGTAAACTCGTACAAAGTGGATGACTGAGACTGGCAAAGATCTAAAGACTGGGACAGTAGTGATGATAGTGGATCACCAATTGCTTCGAGCCCTCTGGCCAGTGGGTAAGGTCTCAGCCACAGTACCAGGGGCTGATGGGAATTTCAGAACTGCTGAAGTACAAGTGCAGGGTCGAAAATACATCCGACCAGTGAGTAAACTTATCTGTTTGCCACCACTACCTGATGATAACAAAGACTCATAAGCGTTTTCTAAAGTAGAATTTACTATGTAAATTGGGTCAGCTGTTGAAAAGGCTCAGTAAGTTCATTCTTATTGGTGGGTTGTGAATTATTAACAGTTGTAACTTAGTCCCGCCCCCAGAGTTTGACGTGACTTCTTATGTTCCGCTTGAAAGCTGTGGAGGGCTTGCGTGTATTCAAGCCATAGATGAGTGTGCGTAACTTTGAAAAAACCAGACACACACACACACCCTTTATATCAAATACATATGTTAATGCACCGCATTGAGTATGTTGATGGCTTGAACGTACTATTAAACAACATTGATTGGACTTTTGGACTTTTATGCATGCTTACTGATGCCCCGTGATGATCCCAATTGAGTCAGAACCAGTCAATACAGTCCAGAAACCTACTTAACAGCAAGTATACTTGAACGTTTTCTTTGTTAACTTGACATTATACTTATAGTTTATTATTTATATATTAGGCTATTTTTGCATTTTAAGTATACTACTATGTTCCTATTTAGGTCTTCATTTTTGTACTTTAAATCTTTCATTTGACACTCGTGCGAGATTTTTTACAGCAATCCAGTTCGGTGCAAACTCCGCCCCATAGCCGATCGATTCTACAGTGCTGATTTCCTACACAATGCTATGCTACAACTGATTCTAACCCTTAAACCTACCCTACACCTGACCCTAACCTCAACCAGTGAAATAGACTGCATGGCAGTTAATAAGATGCGATATGAGATCGCTGAGCCGGGCAGATCCATAACTCCCCAACCGGACCTCTCCTGACAATGGGACTTTTTTAGTTGCACTCAGCGTCACTACCCCCTCCTCCCCTGCGAATCTCAAGACCCGGGACACCCCCATTGCGTTAGAACACAGTGATAGAGTAAAAACTTTCCCACAGTCCGAATGACACTGGACATGAGCTCTGTGACAATTGGCAGAAGCCAAAACCAATGGTGAAAGTCTCTGCGCGGTGAGACCCCGCCCGATTTTGGAGGTTCTGCCCACTTTTGGAGTTCACGCCCCATTTTGGAGATCTCCCGTCTGCAGTTATACCTACTTGGAAAATTCCAGTCAGTGGTGGGGAAAGAGTGAAGTCGATTTGAAGTAAATTCCTACAATACCAGTGGACTAGGCTAGCCTATACACAAAAATTCAGATACTTAGAATTATGAACATCTGTTTTCTTTATAAATCAATATTTTTTAAACAATGTAAGGTTTAAGTGTGAAAAACTATGTGAAAAAATTAGGCTACTCTATCAAAAGAGTAAACACAACTACAAGTCAATAGTCAAATATATATTATATACATTATATATTATATATGTATATATATATATATATATATATATATATATATGTATGTATTATATAATATAAGTCAAATATATTTAGAATACTTAATTATACTTATATCAATAGATTGAATACAAATACAGGGCAAATATACTTAAGTATACTTGACTTGTACTGACAGAAAAGTTTAAGTGCAATTTTAAGTATATTTCTGAGAGGTACATAAACAAGTAGACTGAAAGTATACTTTATTTTTAGTTAGTTAGAAGTATACTGATAGCACACTTGAATAAACTTCTTTTTTGTAAGGGTTGTAAAGTTGTGTTGTATTAAGTGTTGCTTAAGTAAATGCAACCTTGTGTTCACAGGTATGCTGGAGTGATAGAGATTTCCACAACACGTTTCCTTAAAAAATCTAATAGTTTCACAGAGGGTGTGGCTGTGTACCTGAACCATGACCTTCAGATGCTTCGTCTATTTGAGGCATTTTCTGAAAGTGCCCCACAACTCATACTTATGATGTGTAGAATCTTACAGAGAGGAGAGCTGGAGCTTATTACAGGTCTGTCTCAAATCCAGAACACTTTGAATCTTTATTACTTTCAGATTTTTCAGATAGTTATTATGTGTCTCTGAACGTTATTATGAACGATTTAAATGACGGGACAGCCTGCCAATCACTTGAGAAAGCAAACCGCAACGATTCAATGATCCAATAAAGTCCCGCTCTATATATTTTTTTCTTGCCCGAGAAGCCATTTCACTCTGATATGTCAAAATAGGGAAGAAAAGACGATTGCAACTTCCATTTAATGCTGACTTTATTGTGATAATTAACCCAAAAAGGAAAATTCTGTCATTTACCTACCCTCGTCATTCAGATTTTTATATTTACATGGAACACAAAAGAAGATCTTTAGCAAAGAAGATATTTATCTAAAATATTTACCTCTTTTTTATATAAAGAAAGTGGATTGTAACTGATGCTATATCAAGCACCAAAAAAAGAAGAAGCAAAAAATACCTTTAAAGTTGCATGAAACAGATATTGTGATGGTCTTTTCTTCTCTACTGTGATGCATATCTGGGCTTCTCAAATAAGACAAAAAATGTAGGACGGGACATGATATTGTCGAATGATAATTGATTAGATTGTTGGATCATTGTCGATTGCATCTTGTGTGAGTGACAGGTTGTTGTTTTTTTTACGTCACGTCACGAAAGTGCGACTCGTTGGAAGACCCAGCCCGTTCTCATCCTTTGGCGTCATACATTGGACGCTTTGTACATTTCGTCGAAATCTTACGCACATGGCATCCTTTAGCATCAATATGAGACTCAGAACCCAAGGCGTCATACAGGTGACGCTCGCCTAAATCCGACGCACATGGCATCGTTTAGCGTGAATATGAGACGCAGATCCCAAGGCGTCATAACCGTACCCTACCCCAGACCTAAACCTACCCATAACAGTGCGTGTTATATTGACGCTAAAGGATGCCATGTGCGTAAGATTTCGACGAAATGTCATATGGCGTCACCATATGACGCCAAAGGATGAGAATGCGTTGGAAAACCGCGAGTGCCTTGGGGGCCATTTGGGGCAGGACCCATGTCTGTGCACTGATCAATTATTATGCAAATAAAAAACATTTAATTCCAAACATTGATTCAGTCAGTAGTGCCAATGTGTGTTTCTCATAGTCTCAGCATCAGCATGGCTGTGATTATATGCATCACTTGCATATTCAGAAGAACACTATTGCTTGTGTTATATTGTTTAATAATATGTAATGGTTTTTCATTTCAGGTTTAAAAATCCTCTCATCAGCTGCTGCAATAGCCTTTACCGTAGCCTTGTACCACCGCAGCATGCGTTCCTTTCTTCAAGAAAAACGCAAGATGAGCTGGATCTCCACTGGCGTCTACTTTCTGTGGAACTTGTTGCTGATCATTCCCCGTGTAACCGCTCTGGCACTCTTTTGCAGTGTATTGCCATGCTACATCATAGCCCATTTCCTGTCTTTGTGGATGCTGCTGGTTTTAGGGGTCTGGAGCCAAAAAACAGATCACATGGAAAGTCCTGGTTGGGAGTGGCTCTACAGAGCTACTGTTGGACTCATCTGGTACTTCAGCTGGTTTAACGTATCAACAGGAAATATTAAATTAAAGACTATTCTCTATTACAGTGTCATGGGGTTGGACACAATGATGCTGCTGGGGTTCTGGTGCTGGAAGGTGTTTGAGTATACAGGCTGTTGGAGCTCCTTAAATCCTTACATAGTGATCCCGACACTACTAGGTTTGCACGTTGTTGGAATTCTATTGAAAATGATATACTACAGGTGGTTTCATCCTAACTGTGATGAACAGAAAATAGCTAAACTCATTGAACAACAGAATATACGACAAGCTGCAGCGTTTTATAACATGGTGACTGACTCCCTGGAATCTTCATCTGACGCTGTGGATGCAACTCTTGCTCTACCTGTCACTGGTGTTCTGAAGAGGGGGAGGAACATGGCTGCTAATTTCTACTAGTTCTTGGTTCAACTTTTCTAAGAATAAATTATTAAATGCCTAATTTAAGTTTTATTTATAACATAAGTATTTATACACAGACTACCTTGTTTTGTAAAAAAAAAAAAAAAATTGCCAAAACTTTTATTTAATCTTTTTCAGAATTCTTTTTGAATGAATAATAAAGAATGAATAATAGATTTCTTTTTTTGACCCATTACTGCACGCAACATGACTTTAGCTTTTAAAATGTAGATGTGATCAAATCATACACGTTTATTAGAGCAAGACGGGTAAACTGAATGGATTCTGGATGACTAGAGCAAACTATACACCAAAAAATCTAAAATGTATGGTAAAAACAAAACAGCAGCTGTGGCTGCCAGAACTTTATCATAAAAAAATGGCTAAGTGAAGGGGTAAAGTGGCCAATAAATAAGTGGGCCAAAAAGCACCCTAAAGTTCAGATAACTGCATTTAATAGAAAATTAAACAATAATACATTTACATTTCCATTACAAGTGTCATTACATTGCTCTTTTAAAGTATACAAGTAAGAAGTACTCTTTTTAACTCTTTCCCCGCCAATGTTTTTGAAAAAAGTTGCCAGCCACCACCACCATTTTTTATCCTTTTCACAAGTTTCATGGCCCTCAGAATGTTTTGTTGTATATGAATATCTGAATATGCCATATAACAAAAGAAAGAACAGAACCTCTGCTTTTAAACAAACAAACAAAAAAAGCCTGTTTTATTATAGCTTTATGCATTCCTTTTTTATCAACACTTGAATGTGGGTACATTTAATAAAAAAGCAACATTTTAAGCAATGACCTCGTCTGGATGGGATTCAGAACGATGATTAAAACACAGATGGGGTCGATCGAGTCCATCAAGACCCCCAAAGATTCACAGTCCTATAGATCGCCCTGGGTCGACATTTCAATCAGTAACATTAGGCAGTTTTGATTTATATGCTGTTTAATATTGATGATAGCGTAATTTAACATAAGCATATACTTAAATGTGGGCTGCGTCTGAAATCGCATACTCTCTTTAGTAGGTACTAATTTTGATTAAGTAATTACTTCACGACCATTGAAAAAGTATGTTCTAGATGAATGTTATCTGGACGTACTATTCGCCATGTTGTCATTATCATGTGATCTACCAGCGTCAGTCGCTTCACTGCCATTCTTAAATTCTCTCCTGTGGCCTGATGGCTAAATAGTAAAGTGTTCATCGTATACACACTTCAGAATCTCGCCGGAAGAGTAGGACATCCGGGTACTTTTTGCCTACTCTTTTATGAGTACTGTAAATTCGGACATACTTCTTTTGTTACATACCGTTTTCACATACTATATAGTAAGGAAGTATGCTATTTTGGATGTAGTCATTGCTACAACATACTTTTGAGTATAGCAAAAGAGTAGACAAGCTTTACTATCAAACATAATTATCATGTCATAAAATTGCATCTTTGCTCTCTGTCTCATCCTGACATGCATCCTGTCACCATAAACTGGCCTGTCATTCATCTTGTCACAGTTTTTTTTTTAAATATATTACAATAGAAAACAGTTATTTTAAAATTGTAATGTTTCACAATATTGCTGTTTTTACATCAAATCCAGTAAATGCTGCCTTGTTGAACATAATAGACTTTCCAAAAACATCTTACTGACTTACAAACGTTTAAGGGTATACTTTATGTCAATCATTTAGATCATAGAGTTTGAAAAAAAAAAAAACCTGAATAGCAGTATCATTAAAGTATGAGGTATTATATTGTGATGTGATGTGATCACGTTGACATGATTATGTATACTGCAAACTCTTCATCACGGCTGTCCCCCATAACAACATAGGTCACTTTCTTCCCAAAGCGAGCGATGATGCGTTCAAAGCAACTCTCTTTTCCTGTTAACAGACGAGTCATTCAGCGTTACTCTAACAAATGTTAGATATACCATGTGTAAATTTACGCTTGTGCTTAGTTTCAGTTTGATAGCAATGATTTTAAAAGGAGAGGATGTTTAAAATGAACATACTGGAATAATTTATTAAGACTCAAGGTTGTACATTCCAAGTCTTCTGAGAACATATGATATATTATGGTCTACGGTGAGGTATTATTGCTGAAACTGTTGGAGAATTTCCTTTGTCTCATGTAAAAGCCTGAATGCTGCAATACCAAGCAGAAAACTAGGTCACAGGGTATGCAAGGATGGAAAAGTACCCAACAGCTCTGTACAATATATCTTACGGAAGGTGGACATGGTGAAAGGCACGAGAAGGTACTGAAAACCATGTAATATGAGAAGTTTTTAAAAAAGTCTATGAAATATTAGATGTTTTTTAAAAAGGCGCATGCTCAGAGATTCTCCACCAATAGAAAGAAGGCCTCGGGGAAGATGTTTCTAACGGTGGCAATATCTCGAGGAGGAGCAAAAAGAAAAATAACTATGGATGCTCATTGGGTACCTAGCGATAAGAAAAAGGTATAAGACCTGACCATTGTCAGCGTCAGATGGCCAGGCATCTCACTTTGTTGTTTGTTTAATAAAGTTAATTCTTCTGAGACATGGAACTTCGACTTTGAGAGATTTCTTTGAGACATGAGACTTTAAATCTTCCACGACATAATCCATATTTTCCTGATTATTTTTTTGTCAAATGGAAATATGTGGAAAGGTTTATTTTTACAGCTTTTGACAGCTTACGGTCTATACGGTTGTAGTTTAGTTTACATTTTTGGAGCTTAACAGCCCCTGGTGACTGTATAGAAAAATTTGGAGTTTGAACATTCTTTAACATTATCCTCTTGTGTTCTGCAAGTGTGGACCATCTGGCTTTGGAATAGGGTTTCAAAGTTTCCAGAATTTTTTTAAACTTTCCAGGTTTTTTTATTTATTTAAATTTTCTTAACCAAACCTGTTACCTATTTTAATGGCACTGTAGATGTTCTCGATGGGAAAGACGTCACCCAGGCCATAGAAAATCACTTTAGCTAAAGCAGGAACTAGCTGAGTGGTGATAACCAGAATATTCATACATCTGCCCCTGTGAACAAACACCAAAATCATCAGGATCTGATGATTTCCTGTAAATCATGCATGCTCTGAGAACAGAGACAGATGCAGTTGGGCTGGGTATCGGTACAGATGTCCTGACTCAATGTGTTTCTCAATTCAAATCAATGAATATATATAAAAAAGCACTGTTTCTATTTAAATAGACAAATGCTTAAGAGTCTATGATTGGATCATTGTTGCAGTGATTATTATGTTTCTAGCATGTTATATGTAACAGTTCTTCTAACCTTAATTGATGGAATGTGTACTGTGTAGGTTTTCATTTCTTAATCATGTAAGAAGACACATCATGGCCACATTCTAGAATGACAATGTCAAGACTCATCAGGATCAAAATGTTAAAGAATGGTTGGGAGAGAGAAAAGAAGAATCATTTTCACACATGAATTGGCACCTCTGAATCCTTACCTTAAATTCATTGAAAGTCTTTGGGTTGTGCTGGAGTAGACTTTACAGAGTGCTTGAGTCTTGCGTTGTCAATACAAGATCTTGACCGAAAATTCATGCATCATTTATAAAAATAACAATAATTGAAATTGAAATTGAATTGAAAAAATCTTCTTCTTTTTTTTTGTTGCCCAGCCTAGATGCAGCTATAGTCGTACCTTGACTGTACAAGCAAGAGAGATTTGAGGGCAGTGCTCCGCCAGGCATCTGTAACGGTCTCAATCTCTGAGCGAAGCCTGAACAGTAGGTCTCTCTTCATTGGGCTCAGCAGACCTAAAAAAAAAATGCAATGTTGACATTTAAATATTATATATACCGTAAAACTTAAAATAATAGCCCAGTCCCTGTCTCTTTTACACGCCTGGTGTGGCTACAGGTTTGGGTAAATAACGGCCGGTCTCAAATAGAGGCCGGGTCTGTTTTTTAGTTTCGGGTTGTATTCAATCCTCTAAAACCGTCAGATTGACCGCTTTTTGGCGGCCGCCAAAGTAAATTTTTGTCCCTCCAAAGACTTTTTTGATCGATGAGTGATGTAGAATAGAATGACTGCTGCGCTTGACAGGGCGCGTTAAGCCTTGTTTATACTCGACGCGTCCGCAAGAGCGCGAAGTGCGCGCGGCAAAAATGACGTCATTGCGGTGTGGGCGGTCGTGCGCGTTGGGTGCGCAAGACCCCATTTCGCCTGGCGGTGTGCACGGCACTTTTTGTAACATCGCGCGCGGCGCCGCATCCGAAGATGAACGACTTCGAGCCGAATCTGGCCGAACTGGTATGTCTGTACCACCATGTTTATGATCCTTCTATACACAGAGACATTTGCATTGATGGGCGACCATAAAAGCCTCTCATTTTGTGAATAGGAACACATTTACATTAAGCACCCAGTTTGCACTTGTATAAAGTAACTGCTTACATTTACAAAATAAGCCTACAATAGCAGAAGTAAGCCCTGCTGATGAAATTAAGGTTTAAACACTCTTCAATAAGGCTTCAGTTGTTTACTAGTTTACATGCAGTGAAAGTGCAATAAACCTACTGCATTTATTACTCTTTTTATATGAATCAGAAATTAATAAACTACTAATAAATGGCAAACTACTTCTTCACTGCTGATTCCTGGTGGTTTAGAGGAGAATTACTCCAAGTCGCCCCCTGTCGTTTCACAGAATAGCACAACGGCGAGCGCGTCAAGTATAAACGCCTCGTCCATATGGAGAGGTCCGCGCGCAGTCAGCGGAGACTCGCGCTCGTGCGGACGCGTCGAGTATAAACAAGGCTTTATTACGAGAGAGAGAGAGAGCCCCGGCCGCGCGCGCGCACGCACTCTCACGTCTTCAAAAAACACGAGCGCTGTCTTGCTCTATCTCCCTCGCGCATATTAATCAAAATCAATTGACGCGATAGTAAAAGGTCGGAAGACCGCAGTTTCACGTGGAGCATTTGGAGATTTTTAGAGATTAGAGACAGGCCTATACACTCAATGAACAACATCTCAACACTAAATTATAAAGGCCTGTCTCATATAGACGCCTGTCTCAAATACAAGCCGGTGCAGTTCGACGATTTGGGAAAATAAAAGCCCGGGCTACTATTTGAAGTTTTA